CATAGTTTTGATGATTAAAATTAATGAGCTCCCTCAGAGTCTCTTGGATATGTGTAAAATGCATTATGTTTTTATCTTCATGTATTTTGATAGACAGAAAGAGACTTTTTCATGCTTCATGAGCAAACTTATTATTTGTGTGTCAAATTTACCCAAATTTTTTTCCCCAATGTCGTTTCAAGACAATGTGAGATGGCAACAGATGAGCCCCTGAGTTATCCCAAATAAATAAGCATTGAGGAGGAAACCTTATGGCAAACAGATTTTACCATAACTTGATTGGTTTCCCTGCAGGTGTGAAATGAGGGTGTTTTGTGGGGGATTTTTGTTTGGTTTGTTGTTTATTTGTTTTTGTTTTTTTTTTTTTTAATAAAACAGTTGTATTTAAAAAGATTTTAGAAAAGGATGATGTCAGGAAAAGAATAGACTTTGCAAACAGAAAACTCAGTGGTAATACAGCCTAGAAGGGTGAAATGTAAACTTCCTTACTGAGCTGAATACAATTTATAAATTTTGTATAGCTGGAACTAAACTTCTTGCTGGAGTTGTTTTAAAATGTGTCTTCATAAACACTTCCCATGGAGATATTCTTTGTAAAAATAAATGTTAATAACCAGCTGACAGAGAATTTATGGAACCCTGGTCTCAGCTGCCTCTTGGCCCCAGGGGATTATGGTACAGTAAACCCACATTTATACAAAGAATTAAATATATAGTAGGGCAGGACAAAAGGAGCAGGGAATGTCTTTCACTATTTTCCTAAAATTAATATAGTGCCATATTCCTGTTGCTTTCACTGCAGCAGATGCATGGACTGTAAATAGCAGCGTTTAATATCTCTGAGTGATCTAAACAAGTCAATTTCCCATGAGAAATGCCAGGATCTGTGCACACGGGGTAACTTCAGAGTAGGTAGGAATGGTGTTTCCTCAGCTGCCCGTCAGGAACGACTTCATCCTGCTCTGCAGATATTGCCTCTGCATCCCTGGGATGTGTGAATTTCCATACCCGTTCATTTAGAAGGCTCTGCTGAGACTGTCAGAGGGAAGCTAATTATCGTCAGCCACGGCGATCCCTGGGGAATTATGCTGGGATTGAGGAAGCAGGGAATGGCTGGAGTTACAGTCAGGGATTAAAGTGATTGAGTTTTGCTTCCTCTCTGCTTTTGCTTTTCTCTGGTGGCTTGGGGGACAGCTCTCCAGGTGCCTCTCAGCCCATTTGGTCTAATATTGGTGCTGATTTCAGGTGAAATCAGCAGCTTCATTAAGGAGCAGAACGTGGGAGTCCAGTTGATTAATTCCAGGGAGCAGCACATGCTGCCTGGAGTTAGGCAGAATTCAGCCAGGGAGTTCTGCTCTGCTAACAGGAGGGCTCTAGGAGGAATTTAGGGGAGTCACAATAGTGTTAATGTCTGAAAATATGGACAAATTCTCCTAAGTGTGATGAAAAAGCTGAATTTTCATTCAGAAGGTAAAAAAAATTGTCTGAATTCTGTGCTGCTGTTGATGAAATCTCCAGGATAGGAGATAATTTTAAATGAAGGTTTTTCTTTAGGATAAATGCCTGTCCTTTAAAAATATTTCCTGCTCTGTACCAATCTGGAGAAGCCCTTTTTCTTTTCTTTTTTTTTCTTTTTTTATTTTTAATAACTGCGAGTTCTTTATTGTGATCAAACTAAGTAATTTCATTTAGTGATGCAGGCTGAAAATGTGAATGTCCTTTGAATCCGTGTAATCATTTATTGTATCTTGACTATATAACAGCAAAGTGAGGAGAAGTAATGCCTGTGATTGAGTTTCCTGTAGGTAAAATCAGATTAATTGCAGCTTTTTTTTCTTGCTTGTGGTCCATCACTCATAATTTGGACATCAGGGCTGTGTATTCTGTCTGAGTGAAGTTAGGCCATTGTAGGCAAACAAATTCCTCAATTTTGAAAAACTTCTGCCTGCTTTTTGCTTGCTTTTGTCCCTGTTTATATTTTTTTATGGTAAAATGAAGCTTTTAGTGCTGATTTTAGCCCTTTATTGCTGTACTGAGAGGATCTGGATCCCGTTTTCTCGGTGACACTCTCATGAATAATTAGGCAAGGCAAAGCTGTAGGATTTTTCATTAGAGGTGATGGTGTACTCAAATGAAGATGCACAGGGTTATTGCTTTTTTCACAATGAAAGGTGGATATGGCAGATTGGAAGGTATTTTTTTTAAACAATTGACTTCTGTATATAAAAATAAAGTAATGCGAAAGTGTATTGTAGAATCTAACAGGACTGCCTGCCTGTAACTAGGCTGCAGAAGTTCATTTCTGTACTTTCAGAGATCCTTATGCTGTATTTCCAAATGTCTTATGAGTCCTGACATTTTTCTCTATTAAAGGCATTTTCTGTTTCCTGGTCCCCAGCATTGTGGGGCTGCATTGATTTAATTTCATCCTGGCTCTTCCAAACCAATGACAGCTATTTTTACTCTTCAGTTATTCTCTAGAATGCCCTATTGAAAAACTCCTTCAACCCACCAAATACTATCACTTTTCAAAATTAAAAAAAAAGAACCCCCAAAACAACATAAAATCCTCCAACCAGCAGGAGTTTTTATTTAAAGCCTTTTATCTTCTGGGCACAAATATTCTTCTAGTACTTGAACTGTAGTTCCCTTCTTGCTCTCTTTATCAATCTCATTTCTTGCAGTTACTCACCTGCAGGAAATGTATTATCTATTGGGAATATTTTCTTTTTTTAATCAATGTTTGGTGTAGGAGGTTTAATTACTATTTTTCATCTAGCAGTACTCTTGTCTGTGTCTAAATTGCTACCATTCCTCTCAAAGGTATAACAGTCATTCATATTGAATTACATAATATAAAAGTAAGAAATTTAATTTCACGAGGAGTCACGAACTTTCCTTCCTTAAAACGTTGCTTAAATTTGGACAGAAAATATTTTCAGGATGAAAAGCTAGGCTTGTGCCTAAGACTGTCTCTCATTTTTCCAAAAGATTTTTACATTGAGCAATGAATAACATTTTGCTGAAGCTTTCTTTGGCTTTTAGTCAAGAGCTATAAATGAATTCATTAATGGGAATTATTTTTGGGTAGCAGTAGTGGGTGTGTGTTTAAAGTCCAGTGGTGATGCATGGTGCTGTGAGAGTCAAGTGCATTCCATCTTTTCTTCGGCGATTCTGAGAGTTTTAGCGTGGAGGAAAGAAACAAACACAACAAAAATCCTAAAGCTGTGGTGATCAACCCTCACCCACGGGCCAATCTGCTGCTCTTTGTGAGGTTGAATTCTGGCCTACTTGAATTCAATCTTTAAGCCTTTCTTTTGGTATAATTAAAATAAATTAATATTTTAGAAACAGAAGAAAATAAAATCTTTTTAAAATTAATTTTAGACACAAAAGAATTCTGTGTCTAAATAGCAAAAAAACTGCTGAGCATGGTGGCTGTGCTCCCCAGTGCACATTGCACAGGTGAAAACCCAGAGACATTTCATTACTACACTAGGAAAATTTAGATTTTGCATATGAGGTTCACCTCTCTATCTACTTTTTGGCCAAAATAGAGGGTATGGGAGGAAAACAGCAGAAAGGAAGGATAGGAGTTATGATAGTAAATTTATTCCAGTTTGTTGGGTTCTTGACAGCAAATGTTCTGTGTGTATTCATGATAAATAGACCAACTTTGAATAGTGATGTTGAAATATATAAAATAATGTTTATGGAAATGTTGGACACACTGCCCCAGACAGGTAAAGAGTAACTATCATAAATATATTTTCAGCATTTAGCGCTGGAAAAGCATGCATATCTGGTTAAAGTTTAGTGTGGAGATGTAGAATGTCATTTCACCCTTCTCAGCATTTATTGTAGGAATGTATCCTGTCTGTGCTGGACTTTGGAACTTGTTAATTACCTTGAGCCTTGGAAATATGTCAGCTAATACCTGTTGTCACCCTGCAAGTATCTGCAAGTCTGTGATGTGGTGTAGTGCATGCTGGTGAATATTTAATATTAATAAATGTTAGGTTTGTGCTTCACTGAGGGCAGAGGCTCTAGGGAGCCTCTGATTAATTTATCAGTGTTCTTGGCCAGAAACACATGTTTCTTTGAGAAATGGTGAAAATGCCACTTGTGGGCTGTGTGTTACCTCCCCACTTCATTTTCAGTACACGTGGGTAAGAATTCTGAAAGGAATGGGGAAAAAGGATTCGTTGTTTACTTTCTGTGAAAAATGTTTGTGTTGAATCTCAAATTATGGCATCTTTCATCCACGTGAGGATTAAACCACACTAAAATGCACAGAAATGTAATAAACAGGAAAGTTACCCTAACAGCTTCAGCCTCAGTCACCACATTGTTATTGAATATATTCCAGCTGAAATTTGTGCTGTTCTGGATATCCTTGTCTTGAAAATTATAGGTAATTTATGATTTCATTTTGAAAGCAGGCATACCAAATCAAAATACACTGCAGGATGTTGATAGCTGGAATTAAAATGTCTGCATAACTTCTGAATGCATTAATAGGGGACTTTTTGTTTTGTTTTATCCTTCCTTTAGCTTAAGGAAGGATCTGTTTGTCTTGACATTTGAGTTTTGAGTATGTAGTTGTCAAAGTGGAGAGAGGTTTGTTGTTTAAGGGTAGATAAAGCATATTTTATGAATTTACATGGCAATTTAAATAGGTAGATGAACCTGGACAGAGCCTACTTCACTCAGCTTCAGCACAAGAGGCAGTGAAATTCCAGGCAGATTGTCCAGTTTAAGGTTGGTGGTGTTTCTCTCCACTGGTTACAAAGAGATGCAGAGGGAAGATTATATTTCAAGTCTAAATTAAGTCTTTTTGAACATGCCTTTATTTCACAAACTTCTCCCAATTCTGAGGCCATTTTGTGACTACAGACATTTTCACAAGAAAGGCGCAGAAAATAAATATTTTGAGGGTTGTCTTGAAACACTTCAAATGTCAGATTCCCTTTGACCTTGGCTGTTTTTCCTCTTGGCAGCTCCGGAACGAAGGGATTCCTCCCTGCTGGGCAACCCAAAAATTTTTTGCCTAGCTCCCCGGAGAAAACGAAGGCAAAGGATGACAAAACCTGCAGGGACAGGAGCTAAGGTGGCTGCTTACGAGGCAGATCAGCCAGCCCAGGAAAAGTAAGTGGGTTTCAAATATATTGGAACATTTTTACGCTCACAGACCTCATCGGGGTCGTGGGACTCCAAACCCATTTTGGCATGGACAGCCTCTGGTTGAGGAGGCTCCAAGCTCACCACCCTGAGATTCTGCCTTTGGGATTCCAGTGCAAAGAAATTACCTCTCAATTCCATCTTTAATAGGTTGTTTTTTTTCAGGACGTGGAGTCTCCAGGCAGCAAAAAGTTTGCTCTTACAACACAAAGGGCGTCAGGATTTGTAACACTTAAAAGTATTTTTCTTATGTCCATTTCAACTTCTGGAAATCTTTCCAGGTGTTCTGGGAGGTTCTTATAGCTATGCATAGAGTTGCTTCTGAGCTCTGATGGGATTGGTAGCATTTTCTTCAAAAACCTGGCTACTTTTCCTAAATACATGGTAAATTACATTTGAAAATACATATTTTCCATTTTTATCTGTAATATTCCATGGATTGTAAACTCCTTGAACAGCCATGGACAGAAGTAGATTACAAAGACGTTTCTCATGATTAGCAAAGATTTCTGTTTAAATCAGCAGGAAAATTATCTTATTTTGACGTAAAAGTTGTGGTTTGACGCCAGCTAGGAATGTTTGAATTTACAATCCTGTTTTATTAGGTTAAAAATTGAATTTTTTTTAGGATGGTTTAGAAATATGTCAGGCCTTGCTTTTTTTGTTCTTTTCCATCCCAGTCCATTGCAATGGAAAACCCCCTTTCCCCATTGTATTTGGTCAGTTTGATTTTGACAGCCTGCCTGTGCTTGCCTGAAATTCCGCTTCATTTTATTTCATATTGATTGTTGAAGGAAAACCTATGGAGACCAAGTATTGCAAATATACAGAGGCTTTGGACCGAGTAATTATCTTTTTATGAATATCTGAGTCCTGTGTGTAGGAGGACTAAGAATATAGTGATATTTTTGTTTTAATTCTTTGAAATAAGGGCAAGTTTTAGTAGAAACAGAGCAGCATTATGATTTTCATATATGTGAAGAATTTCTACCCTGCTTACAGATTGAGTCAGGGCTGAATCTAAAGAGTGGCTCTTCTTTTTGGCAACAACATAATTAGTTGCATTTTGATACTGGGCATATGGAGCATCCATTCTATCAGTCTCTATCTTCATTTTTCTTTCCTGCACTTCATGTGGCAGTGGCAATTCTTGGATTAGATAGGAGGATAGGAAATATCCCTGTTTACCTGAAACCTTACAAAATCTGAGCTGAAATAATTTCCACTTTGCTGGTTATTTTTCTCAACGTCACTGAAGTTTTTGAGCTTCACTTGAAGTCTTTTGCCAGCTGCTAATCAAGTTTTCAGTCAATTTGCTTGGCTAATAATTTTCAGTTCTCTTCAGCCTGTCAAAAGTGGGGAGGTGGAGAATTAGCACAGCGATCCAGTTCACAAATATAGGTGTTCTTTTTGTGGAGTAATTTGTAATTACTCCAGTAATTTGTGCTGATGCAATGCCAAATCCTTGGTGCTGCAAAGGGCTTTATCTTAAGCTGACAGCACATTGGGGTCCTGCCCAAAATGTTTCCCAGTACTGTGTCACTGAGCAAAAACAAAACAAAACAAAAAATTAAAACTTATTTATCCAAGAAGAGGGGGTGTCAGTGGGGGAGGTTAACTTGGAAATTCCTTCAGCTCTGGAAGTGCTCCATCGCAAACAGGGAGATGGGGAGCATGTTCTGGGATCAAGTGCAAATGCACCAACGAGTCCTCCCTCCTTCCTGGGCTCTCCTGCTCAGACCTGCAGCCAGGGCTGGCTCCTTAATGCAAATAAAAATGTAAATGCTTCGAGGCCGAGTCACACAAACCCCTTCTCCCTCAGTTCTTGCTGTATCGGACAGAGCTTGTTTAGGGTTGTTTCCCATGTGGAATTTCTGGTGACATCAGCAGCGCTCTCCAGGCCAGGGAAGGGCTGCCACAAACCCAACACCTCCAGCCTGATGCTGCCCTAAAGCTGCTGCATCCTGAGTTCCTCGGTGCAAGATCCTAAAAAAAAAGACTTAAAAATGTCTCTGCAGCAAAGGAAAGCACCCAAGGTTTTATTCTCCCTTTGTCCTTCAGAATGTTTTTTGATAATGAAGAGTTTTTCAGTGTTTTCGCGTAAGAAAAGTTGTGTCTTAACTTTCATCTATTTTTCATAAAACTTTACAGTGTGCTAAGAAAGTAGCATTTATCCTAAACTTGAGAACATTAACTCATCAAAACCTAAAGGATTCTATTTCTGCAAATATTTCAGATTTATGGATGCCGGGGCTAGTTGTGTGGCAATTCTCTGCTCCTTGGAATGAAAATATATTCTTGGATATGACCAAAAATACTCAGAAGAATGCAAATAAATGTCTGTTTGACACAGAAATTAGAGCAGAAGGAGTGCTGCCTTTCTCAGGCTTTGTGTGTGGGTGCAGTGGCAGGAAAAGGAGTTGAATTGTATTTATCCATATAGACATCTAGTATTACTGTGGCAATTTATTCAAGGGCTAAATCAACATTTTTAATGAAACTTGGCAATGTGCTTTGGATAATATTAAGCTTAGTGAAAGTAGCCGTGAGAGCAGCAAGGAACTGAACTAGGATTTGTGGAACAAGGTCTCTAAATGATCTGTTTAATTATTTGCTGAAATAAAGATGTACTTTAGGATAAAGTAGAAATTTAGAATAATTAGTGGGTTAGCCAACTGCCAAGAATGAGGTTTATCCAGCTCTCTAGGAGGTTGTTCTTAAATCAGAGATATCCAGTGGAAGGAAATGCTTCTTTGGGCAGACAGATGTTACTTTCAATGAATAACAGCTGACCTATAGCTCTTAATTTACACCTTTTAAAAATAGGTAAGGACAACAAGTAAATCTTACTTTTCAAAACACAATTGAGCCAGGAAGTAAAATAAAATTATTCTGATTCCAGTACACCATGATGGTCTTGGTGCAGCTTTAACTGTAACTTAATATCTGGCAATTTCCTGAGGTGCAAGGCAGAGATAATATATATAAGTCAAGTTAAGATGCAAATTCTGCTTTTCACAATTTGCATTTTGTAATTGGAGGAGAAAAAAAAAATTATTAATAAGAGCATTCCCAGTCCACAGTTAGAAGTTATGGTTATTGAGGCATTACCCAAATCTCTTTGGGGGCTGCACATGAGTGGCACTAATAGCTGTGTGGAATATGCATTCAATATAGAGGCTTAGCTCTATGGCCTGTCAGCCTGAATCCTGTAAATAACTGGATGTTTCCTTAATATTTTCACTTTAAAAGTGCTGGAACCTACTTGAGAGCAGATAGTACCTACAGAAGAAGGCAATTTTTTTAATATAATTTTAAAAATGGAGTGTAGTCATTGAACAAAACCTGCAGTCAGAGACTACTATGTAACAGAGATGGGGTCTCTATAGCTAAAATAAAAATAAATCAGGAAAAAGCTTCCATTTCTAGTGCAAGTTACATCTTTCCACTTTGATTTATCAAAATTGAGGGGGTAGTTTTTTAATGAGTTAAGGCTAACAAAACCTTTTCATTTCTGTCTTGCATTTTTTTCTAATAAAGGGTCTTTTATTGTCCTCATTCACACATGTGTTTCCTAGGAGAAAGGCTTTGCTGGATAAGGCTCAAAATATCCATAAGTTATTCTGTATATTTCAAAATATAATCCATTCCTGCTGCTTGAGGGTATTCATAATTTCTGTGCTATTTAATGCATGCCTGCTGTTGAGTGGATGTAAAATTACAGTAGTGGTTTGGGGAAAGGCATCTTAAATACAGGAAAAACATTCTTATGGATGCAAATACGCTGGATTCTCCTGAGAAAAAGAGCAGAAAAATAATTTTAAGAAAAGTTCTTACAGAGGAAGTGTTCCATAATTCTGAGAAGCAAGTGTTAAGAGATACTCTTAATCCAGCTGAGAAGTAACATGTATTTTTTTTAATGAGGAATTCCCTGTTTACAACAAGCACTTTGACTCTGACTTATTAGTTGTTCTGTGTGCCAAAAAGCTTCAGTTTCATAAGTCTAGCTCAGTCCATTTGATGTCACTGTTACTGCCTTTATTATTTTTTTTTTTTTTAATTGAAATTTGACTTTTGCTGGCTTAGTACCTCTTGCTTGAGTGATAGAATGGCGTGACTGTCAGAATCAGGCCTACATTTAAATTGGAGGAAAGAGATATGTTACCTCACTATGCTTGACTTTGCTGAAATTTCAAGGTGCGGGTCAATTTGATGGGACCTTTGCTACCAGTAATTAAATTATTTCTTTTTTTTTTGACACATAAACAGTGCTTCTTCAGAGTGCTCTCAGAAACACCCAGAGAAATGTAATCAGGTTTCTGAGAGTGTGTTTGAGGGTCCCAGGAGCTGCCAGGGGGAGGCTTGTGCCACCTGCCTTGCCATGCCTTGCCCCACCAGAGGCCAAGCAGGGAATGTAATTTTTACTTTAAACACGATTTAAAGTTACGGTGCTCACACTCCCTGTTTGTTCCTGGCTTCAGGGCCTGATTAAACTTAGTCATGTGTGTAATTGTGGGTAGAATGAGCTGCTGCATGGTTTTTACTTGTTAATGATAAATGTGGATTTTTTTTTTATTTTTTTTTGCCCATTCTTCATGCTCTCCTCCCTTCAAAAGATTTTTTTCGAGTCTTTGCGGGTGTATGTAATTTATTTGGAAAGAAATCCTCCAGCATTGTATCCCAATACTGTAATAAGCTGGACTTGTCTTTTCTTTTGATAAACTTCCACCACCTTAAAAGCACTTGGAGCCTGTGGTGAGCCCAGGGCTCCCTAGGGACCCTCTCTCTGCATTTGTTTAATTCATTGCTTGCGGTTCACATTTTTGGAGCTCTAATGCAAAGTTTATTTAAAGTGTGGTCTGCCACCACCAGTGACTCAGGTAGGAGAAACCACAGATCTGTCCTGGAATCTGGCATTCTCAGAGGGTGACAAACCAGACTTTGGGTTTTCTGTCTCACACGACAAC